GCCCAATCCGCCAGGCAATGATTGATCACATTAGACACTTTTTCACCTGTTTCTGCTGTTGCAAATATGACGTGAGAACAGGTGTCTGTGGAAACATGAACATATTTAAGAGTCCCAAACTCCTGTATATGTGTGATGTCCATCTGCCAAACATCACCAGGGATCAAACCTCGAGGGTTTACTCCCATCGGTAGGGCAGGTTTGTATGTGGCACAGGAGTCACATAGTCGCACGATATCTCGTGCATCTGCTCTGGAAACATGGAAATGGTTTGCTAGTGTCCTGGCATTGACATGAAACTTATCATGGAAGGCACGGGCTCGCTCGATTGGTGTTAGTAAGGTAAAAATCCATAACGGGCGAGTGGCAGTATCAGCAGCCACATTCCCCTGTGCCATGGGCCCCGGCAGGGATGTATGTGCTCTTATGTGGGTGGTGAAGACCTTATGGTGTCTGTTTTGAAGCAATGTCTGGACAGACAGGAACAGCCCAGCCACTGTGGAAGTGGATCTAATTAAACCGGCAGTCTCAAGCACTTGCATAGCATTGACCACATACCTAGAATCGGAGACAATATTAATGGCTTCTGAGAACCGTTCAAGAATCATTTTAATGATCTGCAGTTCTACCACCTGAGGCTGATCAGGTTCAAATTGTATGGTAACCGGGGGCTTGCCTAGGATCACATAGGCGCCTATCCCCGTCTTGGAGCCATCTGTGTATATTGTAGTTGCTGGGACTAATGGCTCAGAGGCAGTAACCTTTGGAAAAATTATAGGGTGCTGAGTGACAAATGACAAGATAGGGTCTTTAGGGTATTGATTGTTTATATCCCCATGGAAAACACATCTCAGAATGGCCCATGTATCTATGCAGGCAGCCAGGGTCTTGATCTGGCTGGCGGTATAGGGTACTCGGATGGCTTGTGGTCCTGAGCCAAAATGTTGGACAGCTCTATCATGCGCTTCAAGGGCCAATGAAGCGACTGCCTCCGGGTAATGCTCTATGACTTTTGCAGGTGAGACCTTAGGGTGTATCCACAGTAATGGTCCTTTCTGCCAAATCACCACTGTGGGCTGTAGACTAGTCTGTAGCACTCGAACACCCATATCAGGCACTAATATAAGTCTGGAGGCGACACTGAGGTCCACACCTGCTGACCCAGGGGTGGCCCTTGTTGAAGGCTGCCATCCTGAGCTGTCCTGTCTCTGGGGCGGGGGCCCGCCTGTGAAGGGGGCCCCCTCTGGCCGTTTTTTGGCCCTCTAACATCTCGTCCACAAATACGGTTGCCCTGAGCATCAAAGACCGACCTACACTCCTCAGCTTTGTGTGATCCCCTCTTGCATCGCCCACAAACAGATGGTTCTTCATTCCTAGGGCGAGGCCTAGCATCTGCATTGTTTGGGCAATGACGTTTAATGTGTCCTGGCTCCCCGCAGGCAAAACACCCTTTAGCCTTACATTCCCCTTCTAACCCGCGAGGTCCCCTCTGCTGTACAGCCGCGGCCAGGAGAGCAGCCACTCCCGAGTTGGAGAGCGGCCCCCCTATCTCTCTGCATATCCTAATCCAGGCGTTGAGGTCCTTGTTCTTATGAGGAGCTATCGCTGCCTTGCACTCCTTTGTACATTGCTCAAAAATCAGCTGCCTTACCAGCGGTCGAGCCACTCCCGGATCAGAAAATATCTTATCGGCAGCATCTTGCATTCGGGCCACAAAGTCAACAAATGGCTCTGTGGTACCCTGAATTACTGGGAAAGAACCCTGCGACTCCTTATCGAGCGACTTAGGCTCCTGACAGCTGGTCTCTTTGGCCTCCTTGCCATTCAACTTTCCCTCGTCCTCGGAGTCAGACGACTCCGAGGCTAGAGCCCCGTCCTTCTCCTTAGCATCTTTGTTCCCCTTAACGGGCCCCTCTCGGGAGCTCCCTGACTGGGCCTGCTCAAATACCCTGCGTACTTTTGTAAGCTCTTGAGAGCTTTCTCCACAACCACCCTCGCTCTTAGTGTTGCTACCTAGCATGTTTCCCATCTTTTAATATGTTACTCACCGCGTGAGGCCCAAGGAATCCGCCACTTACGCGTGAGCCTGAGGGGAGTCTAAAAGCCCTGTAGGTGCGCGCCACCCAGAGCCCAGGCTTATCCCCAACTCACCTGTCTCGCAGCTCTGTACTGGAGCGTTGTCCGCTGTCACGTCTCGGGGGTGATCAGTCCCCGTGCGGGCCTCCAAATGTTGATGTCCGCTCCCGGCCGGCAGGAAGGACACACGACAAAGTCTGGCAGTGGACAACCTTTTCTTTTATTTTTCTTCTCCGTACAGCCTGCCCTGGGATCGCTCCCAGCCGAAGCCTCCTTTGGTCCGCTCCCCGCGGCTCCTTCTGGGCTTCTACTTCCGGGCTTCTTCTTCCCCCCCAGGGGTGGCACCAGTATATATACGGATACAGTGTCCAATCATGTTAAAGTAAGCAAGGCAAGCTGATTGGCTAACATCATCAGTTGCCAGGCAGACTATATTGTTGAGCGGGTTGCTTACGAGGTAAGCAGGAAACTAACGTGCTCGATGGGAGGGGTAATCTACCTCAGGCTTTACTCTTTACTACAGGCCTCACGTCCGCCAAGTGAGGCGACCGGGCTCGGGGCTGCGGCTCCCAACACACAGTGACTTGGAAGAAGAGTTAAGCAACAAATTGAAGACAGAAAGAAAATGATGACTTAATTGAAAGTTTCAGAAAAGAATAAGAAGGAAAGGGTAAAAAAAGAAGCATAAAAGAGAGCACTGTTCTTCCTGGATCACTCAGTATTCACAGTACTGTAGCTCTATCATGTGCTAGAGAAGTGCGATATCCAAAACTGTGGGAATCATATCTTTTGTGAATGAATGAACAGTTCAGCCACTCTCAATGCATCTTGAACTTGTAAGAGGGTTAAAACTATACAATGACTCTAAGATTCCATTTATGATCAAATCAACTATTCTCCATCATTATTTTCTTAGGAACCTGATCTAAGCATATGTGTAATGCCAAGTACTACAGTCACTAAGATCGGAGGCATAGCGGTGACCTGGAACGCCATATTCCTGGATGCACACCTACTCCATTACTGATGAATACCCTCCTTACTCACAATGGTCAGATCGCCACTCTTGCAATTTGAGAACAATGGAATTGTGCACTTTCCTAGTCAAGTATCAAAGAGTGGAATCCCCTGAACAAGAGGACATTGCTGGCAGGATGAAGATCCCTCTTCTCCCGTTCCTGTGGACACTCTCTCAGGCCTTGAGGGCTGTTTTTCTTCCTAGTAAGCCCTTACTAAGACTTTCATTTTTGCCTCACTGGAACCTTCTTTTCTGTGGCACCTCAGTCTTGCAAGACCCATTCCTTTGGCAGCCTTCTTGGGATTTTTGTCTTCATCCCTAAGATTTAAAACATGATGAAGGAAAATTTTAGCTCATGAATCAAAACGGCTCCAGAGCTAAAAGCTAATGCTTTGCATAACAATTTTGCAGATCCAAACAGCAGGGCAAGGCCAGATAAAATAAATTGCCAAGGTCATGGTTCTCTTGAAACGGTGTTGGATTTGGAATTGCTGATCCCAAGTATCTCTCCCACTCTCTTAAATGATACTGCTACATCGAATCGTTTCCTGTAGGTGTGGAAACCACGGACCTGCCCTTAACCTTTTCCTTCCCTTCTAATGCCAGATTATTCCGATCATGGAGGAAATGATTAGCTCGTATACCCACTGACCTCACTGTATTGCCATACAAATTAGATCACTTACCAGAAATTGTTGCCTGGGGACTTTCAGTATACTAGAAACTGCTGCTGGCTATTTTAAACTCCAAAAGTATTTTCAATCACTTTAATTTCTTAAATAATCGCTTTGGGTTCACTTTGTCTTCATTCTGAGAACCCAAAAACCACAAGGACCCTTCAAAAATCTGGGGTCTATATGCCAGACAGAAAGAAGCCAAGAGTAAATGTGTAAATAATTCCTGCTTTAATACCTCTAACCAGAAAAACCCTCCCAGCTGCTGTGCGCTCAAGAGAAGCTTCTTAAAGTCACAGCCTCTTTCGCGCTTCTCCAGTAACCACTGGATTCCACATCCCCAAGCGCGATTCGGAATTCTCCGCCTCTGAGAGCCTCTGCCTTCTTAGATCCCCGGAAATTTTGCAAACTACGAACTTCCAAGCTTTGACAGGCGAGGACGTTTGGGGGCGCGGGCTGTGCCGCTCGGGAACCTCACCATCAGCGGGCGTTTAGCGCAGCCAAGCGACAGGCGGGCGCCAGGGCTCAGCAACAGGGAGGAGCCGGCTGAGGCGGGGAGAAGTTTGGCGCTCCGAGCAGAGCCACCCTTTGCTAGCCAGTCGCGTTGCTCCTCGGAGGAAGCAAGTGCTGGTGGCAACTGGGCGGGAAGATACCGAAAGGGAAAAAGAGAGGGAATAACGAGGGCAGAAGAAAAATGAAGCCAACACGGGGGGAGCCCGGGAGACGGCGGCCAGCAGTGGAGAAAGGCGAATTTGGCTCCTTCTTGTCCGAACCCTAGGCGTGATTCCCCTCTCCCACGCACACTCCGGACGGAAAAGGAAAATAACCCATCCCAGTAAGAGCGTCGCTTCTTGTTCGCTGCCGCCCGTTTGGAACTCTGGTTGCTTCTTAGGCCGGCCGCCTGGCGGGCTCGGACACAGCGCCTGACGCGCCCTGCAGATGGGGCAGGCAGGGAACTGGCGCCCAAGCCGCGGGTGACAGGCGCTGGCCGGCTCCTCTGTCCCGCTCCGTGCGGGGACCCGGCGGGCAGAAGATGCAAGGCGGAGGCGCCCAGGAGCTGCTCTGAGACTGCCGAGGGCGCGCTGGGCTCCAAGTTGCATGGCCCGGTGACCGCTCCAGCTCCTGGGACCGCCTTTCCGCGTCTAGTGAAGCGGCGCTCGGGACCTGGAGGCGGAGACCTTAGGCGGCGGCTGCAGAGGGGCGAGCCTGGCGCAGGAGGGGGCGCGCTTTCTCCCTGCGGGTCTCAGTAATGAGGAGACCGAGTTTGTGGTGGCTGCTGAGCAGGGTCTGTCTGCTGCTGCCGCCGCCCTGCGCACTGGTACTGGCCGGGGTGCCCGGCTCCTCCTCGCACCCGCAGCCCTGTCAGATTCTCAAGCGCATCGGCCACGCTGTGAGGGTGGGCGCGGTGCACCTGCAGCCCTGGACCACAGCCCCACGCGCAACCAGCCGCGCTCCGGACAGCAGCCGGGCGGGTGCGCAGAGGGATGAGGCTGAGCCGGGGACTTGGAGACCCCTGGCGCCCTCTCAGGGCGCACGCTGGTTGGGGAGTGCATTGCATGGCCGGGGACCGCCCGGCGCCAGGAAGCCCGGGGAGGGTTCCAGGGCCGAGACTCTGTGGCCACGGGACGCCCTCTTATTCGCAGTGGACAATCTGAACCGAGTGGAAGGGTTGCTGCCCTACAACCTGTCTTTGGAAGTAGTGATGGCCATCGAAGCGGGCCTGGGAGACCTGCCACTTTTGCCCTTCTCCTCTCCTAGCTCACCGTGGAGCAGCGACCCTTTCACCTTTCTGCAGAGTGTGTGCCACACCGTGGTGGTGCAAGGGGTGTCGGCACTGCTGGCCTTTCCCCAGAGCCAGGGCGAGATGATGGAGCTGGACTTGGTGAGCTCAGTCCTGCACATCCCGGTGATCAGCATCGTGCGCCACGAGTTTCCGCGGGAGAGTCAGGTGAGGCGAAGTCCACCGCGCGGGGTGATGTGCGCAGATGGGAGGCAGGACCCCAGCAGGGACAGGAGGAAGAAAAGAACTGGGTGACGTCGGTAGGACTGACTGTGTAACTTTGTTACTGTGTAAAGATTGGACTGTGACCGCAGCTGGTAGATAGGAGGACCTCAGTAGAAGTGGCATGAAACACTTTAAGTGCAGATGGAAATAAAATATGAGGTGGGGGTCGCCGGTGGGAGAAGTAAAGTCGTGGGAGAAAAAGACGTTTTGACCACTGGTGAAAATCCAGGCTCAGAACCATGGAGAGCAACCTAGGCTTGGTAATCCGGAAGCCGTGGAAAGCGGGTGAGGAACCCGAATGTGCTAGTGGTGCACTGTCAAAGGGAACTCTGAGAGCCTGTGTGCCTGCTCCTTGTGACTTCTTCAGAAGATGTTCCTGGGCTTGGGCAATGGCGTTGAGAAAGAAAGCTCATTCCCCAGAATGTCTTTGAGTGAATCAAATCTGGATCTAGTACAAAAGTGATAGGTAAAGAGTGTGTAAGGAAACCCTTTAGAGTGTCGCCTGACACAAAAATGGATAGGGAGACTCCGTGACTGCTTCTTTGTCCCCACCTTTTTTCTTTCAAAGGTAGATAATGCCGTTGCTGGTACTCTGTTTTTGCTTCCATTAGCTAAGAATAAAGCAACAACACTGATTTGGCTTCCTATGAGTTAAAAAACACTCAATAAATTTTAAATAAAAAAGCTATTTGTGAGCTTAACTGTTGACATGTAATTATACAAAAATAAATATTTAAGCAGAGAACAGAGTCTTTTAAGCAATAAAAGTTTTCTGTATTTCATAGGTTTATCATGATAGCAAATTGTAATAAATCTGACAGAAAGTATTTTTGAAACAAAATAGATAATCAGCCCCATTTTAAAGACTGAGAAACTGAGGAAAGTGCTGAAGTTTGATGAAAATCCATCAGTGTGTTAGTAAGAGTCCACACCTTGGAAGATTTCTTATACTACATAATTTACATTTTCTCTTTGTATTTGGAAAAAAATCTTATCTCTTTTCTTCCATTTTTACATGTATCCACAGGTAAAAATCAAAATGAGCAAAGGTAATATGCAAGTGAAAAGTTTGATAGAATCTATGCATAAAATATCGACAGTACTAAAATTTTCTTTTTTCTAAAAAATTGAATCTTTCATTTTTAATCTTAAGAAGGCCAAGTGCAAACTACTCTCAACAGATTCCCAGAAGATTCTTACTTAATGATGAGGTATAGAGATTTGATCTGCAGTGTGCAGGCTAATTAACTTTTATCTGAAATATTTCTGTCAACTGAATCTGAATGACTGTAGGCAGCAGAGGGGAAGGCAAGGAAAATACAGGTACAAAATGCCACCCATGGAAAAGGCATTCCAAACATGAAACTGCATCCATAAGGTGAATCATCATTAATATATATGCAGAGCCAGATTTAATGAAATGCAGGCGTCAGCATCACTGGCTTCTTTATTATCTAATTCTTCAGAAACTGCCAATAGCAACCACAGTCTCCAGACGCCTTTCCATTTGCAGATTGTTTGGCAAGAGTCTTTAATAGGAAGAATTGTCTCCCAAAATGAGTGTTCCTTAGCTGGAAGAGAAGTTGTCTGAGTCCCATGATGGATGTGTGCAGTGACTACACATTAAAACAAGAGAACAAGAAAACCATAAGGCAGCATCTAGAAGCAGCAAACATCATCTTTGAGACCACTGAGGGAATAAGGTCCTCCAGGGAAACCTTTACAAGCTGACTATAAAATAAATACTCTGCGAAGCACATTTACTTCTGTGTTTCAATCCAGAAACATTTTAAATCAATGTTGTCCCTACTACTTTCTTGGTAAACATTTTGAGAGATAGAGGATATTATATCCATTGAGTCCAGTTTGTCCAATTGAGGACATTTTCTTTCAACTCCAATTATATTTTAAATACAAACGTATCTAATTTGTCTTCCCTTCACTTTAGTATAGCATTTAAATGTCATTCTATAATAGTGTGTGTTACAAATGTCCTGCTCAATGTCAGTTCCACTGTAACATGTAAATTGTAAGATCTGACCATAATCTGCTCTCAACAAAATTAATAACTGATCTTTCCTTTACTTCTCCTGGAAAGGGGACCCTGCTCTATTAAACTGATTTTTTAAAAATCTTCTAAATATAAAAGAATGTCAAGGTCATGTTACACACTAAATAAAGTTCTTTTAATTTAGCCACCATAGTTGAAGAGTTCTGTCCAATAATCTAGTCTGTGGATTGTACTAGTATTTGAATAAAGATAGTAGTACAATAAAGTATTCTAGAAGACAATGCAGATACTCACACACACAAATAAAGTTGTGTCTCTTATTCAGATGAATTAAAATTGCCTTTAGATTTGGAGTAATGACAACTGTTTCCTCTTGCTTTCTTTTGAACTGCTAATTTCATTCACACCAAGGTTTTAATGAATAAATAATGGGTTTGGGTAACATCCTGTTACAACTCTTGAATGGAAGGAGACATCACTGTGATGATCAAACCTCTGATTATTACAGTGGTTTATTTCAATATACTATTTATTCAAGACATAAATACATATAGTCATCAGCTTAGACTAGACAAATGCTCCTCAAGCAGGAAAATTGATTTAAAGTTAGTTATCTTTTAGAAAACATATGTATATTATCAGTACTTCATAAAACCTTAGTGCAACAATCAATATAAAGTGAGATCACAGTACATTTCTGCCATTTAAAATACGACTTCACATATACATTCTAACCCCCACTTGATGCTAACTTATTTTATTTAAATTATCACTTCTTAGTTCTACATTCTTATTACCTTCCAATAGTGATACCATGTACATACCCCATTCACTCACATTTGAGTTACCTTAGTTTCTACCATTGTCAGTGCTTTCTCTTCCATTCCCTTGATGCTTGTTCTCTAGGGCCTTTATGTCATTTTTTCAAAGTTTAAAATTTACTTGCTGAGTCAGTGACAGATATACGTTTTACTCTAAAAAAAAGTTTCCTGTTGACTCCATAATAGTTCCATTGGGGAGAGTAATGAAGTAATATAATAGGCTTAGATTCACATCCATGCAACTAAAGAAGAATTGTGCTATCACTTTCAACTCTGACTTAGTATGTCAAATAGGTCTTCCTATCTCATGAAACATGTTCACTAACACATATGTTATACGTGTGTTTTAGATATTGATTTTCTTTGACAGAACAAGGATAATTACTGAAGCCTTTTATCAGCCTTTACTACTTTTGTACAGAGAAATGATATCACTACATAACTGAGGTGGTTCTTGAAGGAACCAGTAAAGGACATGTGTGTTTAAAATACCTGCTCTTAACTATGTTGGTTTTCTTTGATTTGTTCTACCCAGTCCTCTGGGAAGAAAAGTTTTCCTTCAGTTCTTGATGACTGGCTGATAGTGGAACCTAAGTGCTGCTAACTTGAAGATAAATGATCTACAATTAAATATCAAGTGATGCAAAGCTCCTTCTAGTAGTAATTTGTTCTAGGTTCCTTTTTAAAAATAGAGACATAGGCATAATTTGGAACTTTGAATTTTTAAATTTGGTAATTTATTTCCATTATTTTTTTCTAGATAGAACAGAAGACATTAGCAGCCATCATGTATAAGGATAGCTAGCCTGCCCCACCCACTTTTCTTTGGGTTTACTAAGCAGTTAGCATTTAAACCACAGAAAATGTGCTCCATTTTATCTCCCTTTACCGTTACATCTTCAAGTCAACTTGTGACTGAAAAACCTGAGCTATCTGATAGCCAATTTCATTGCCAAATCCCTAGTGTTTTATTACTTAATATTGAAGCAAACATCATGAATTTTGTGCCATTAGATTTTATTTCCTGACATTCCCAGTCAGTGTAGTGAAACACTGGCCGCAAGAGTCCCAATCTACCTCTTTTTTATTGGCCATGGGACCTCGCACAAGTGACTGTCTCTGAATATCTACCATCAAACAAAAGAAGATTTTCACCCCCACGTGACAGGATCATTTTGTGCATGTAATGAGAAAGTGAAATCACTTGAAGTAAATTTATAGTGTTATCCAAATAACTGGTGGCAAAGAATACCATGAACTGACAAGAAACAAAAAGCCCTAATTTTACTAATTCTTCATTAGGAATCAAAATGAAATGCAATTCATGGTATAAAATGCCTCCATTCTCTACCTTCCTCCTCTCATCTTTTCTCTTGCAAAAGAACAATCTAAGTGGACTTAAAAAAACAGAAAAAAACAAAACTGGATTCTTTAGTATGTTGCCTATTTTCCTAGAAAAAGACAGGTCACAGTACTGTTCCTGTGTCAATGCCAATTTTTACTTATGTCCCATCTCACACAACTTCGAGAACCTTAGTTGCTGTCATACAAAAACTGTAAGATGTCCAAGGTTGCTAAGGAATCTTAGTCCTTCACGGTGGTCACCCATTTCTCTTTAGGAAAAGTTATCATCATGATGCTATGATGCTAAAGTCCACAAACGGTCACGCCCACTTCCATTCTGTTAGCTCCACCACTTCACACATTGTCTTCTTCATCTGTTTTGTCCACAAAGTCTTTCTTGGTAAAGAAATCAGTGTGTTAGCTCATGCTTACATAAGCTTCTTCTCTTTATGTGGACAGAAGATAGTTTTCTAACAAGCAACTTTGAATACCCCTGCCTTAGGTGCTGTGTCACTATGTGAAAGTCATAGCAAACCATTGTTCATTTTAATGATGTCACTCAATGGAAGCATGAGAAGTTCCATGGCTTTTTCTCCTGGCTACTCTAGCTACTACCAAGTACAGAGAATTCAGCACTAGAATGCATCAAACTAGGCAAGAAAAGGCATATCTCTTAGCATCTCCACATTGCTCTTTGAATGAGTGCATGAATAACAAATTAATGGAAATCTCAGTGCTACCTAGTTGTTTTTCTTTGATCTTTCCTT